ATAGAAGGAAAACTTTTATAAACATAATAGTGTTGTCCCAGTAATTGAATGTTATAGTTTTTTAAATACAATTTGAATTAAAAATAACCAGTTTCACATCTCATTTTATGAGATTACAATGTTTATGGACCTAGATGCTTTTAATTAATATTTTAATAGAAACAAAGTTCTTTTCACATATTTCATTTCTGTCAGCTACTAGAGGATCAAGGTCTTTACTTTTTGTTCATAGTTATGTTTTTTCAGACTTAGTTATTGAAGACAAATTTTTTTAATGTTTACATTAAACATCAGAGTGTGAGCGGGGAAGGGGCAGAGAGAGGGAAACACAGAATCCAAAGTGGGCTCCAGGTTCTGAGCTGTCAGCACAGAGCCTGATGCGAGGCTTGAACTCATGAACCGTGAGATCATGACCTGAGCCAAAGTCGGATGCTTAACCAACTGAGCCACCAAGGTGCCCCATTTCAGACTTAGTTATTAAGCATTAAAATTTTTATCTAGGAGGATAGTTGAAAATCTTAGTATTTTAAAATAATCATAAACTTTTCAGATTTTTTCTAAATGTTTATGAGAGAGGAAATGGTATAATGAATTAATTGAATGTTTTTTTTTTTAACTCAAATTGTGTATGATACTCAAATTTTTCTGTACTTTGTTTATGTTCAAATCAGTGGTCTGTTGGCTGAATGCCCTCGGAGATTATTTAAAAACTTAGATTATTATGTAAATTTTGAGAATTGATCATGAAATTTGTTTTAGATGTCATTTATGTTTCAGTCTTTTGCTTTTTATTTTTTATTATCATTCATTACCTGTTGTCATTATCATTCATTTTCCTGTTCCTTTGCTTTCCATGGTGAGAATTATTTACGGATTTAAATTATGTGTTACCACTGAACAGTGCTTTCTTTGTATTGATCTTAAATGTGGTAACTTCCAAAGGGCATTGTTAAGTCTGCAGTAGAGGAAAAAATAGTGACTCAGAACCAGCTTTATGCTATACAATTTGCATAAGTACATTTATGGGTGTAGTATAAATCACCATATTTTCTAAATGTTTTAATTTGTTCTCACTTTTTGGTTTTCATTAAAAGGAACAATAACTAGTAGAGATAAGCAAGTTTTTCTCAAAGACTTTCTTTTTTGGAAGAGTTGTAAAATTTAGAGGGACGTATAGAGGTTTCCCATATACTCTCCTGTCCCCACACATGTATACTCTTCCTTATTATCAACACACCCATTAGAATTTACAGTTGGTGAACCTACATTTACACATTATAATCATCCAAAGTCCATAGTTTACATTATGCTTCACTGTTGGTATTGTACATTCTGTGGATTTGGACAACTGTATAATGGCATGTATCTGTCATTTGGTTATCATACAGAGTATTTTCATTGCTCTAAAAATCCTCTGTGCTCTGCCTGTTCATTCCTTCCACACCTACCCCCCAATCTTTGGCTCCCACTGACCTTTTTACTATGTCCATAGTTTTGCCTTTTCCAGAATAACATATGTTTGGAATCATACAGCCTTTTCAGATTGGCTCCTTTACTTAGTAATGTGCATTTAAGATTCCTCCATGTTGGGGCACCTGGTTGGCTCATTTGGTTAAGCATCCAACTTTGGCTCAGGTCATGATTGTGGTTCATTTCCAGCCCCTCCAGGCTCTGCACTCTCTCTTTTTTTCTCTCTCTCTGGACCTTGTGGGATTCTCTCTGTCCCTCTCTGCCCCTCACTCACTCAAACTCTCTCTCTCTCAAAAATAAAATAAGAAAACAAAAATTAAAAAAAAATGAATCTTAAAACAAAAAAAGATTTCTGTATGTCTTTTCATGGCTTGGTAGCTCATTTCTTTTTAGTGCTGAATAATATTCCGTTGTTGAGATATCCATAGTTTATTCATCCATTCATGTACTGAAGGACATCTTGGTTGCTTATAAGTTTTGCCAGTCATGAATACAGGTGCTATAAATATGCGTATGCAGGTTTTGGTATGGACATGGTTTCGTCTCCTTTGGGTAAATACTGAGGAGTATGATTGATGGATCCTATGGTAAAAATATGTTTAGTTTTGTAAGAAATTGCCAAAATCTCTCTTCCAAAGTGGCCATGCCATTTTGTTTCCCCACCAGCATTGGATGCGAATTCTTACTGCTCTACATACATGGTGTTGTTGGTGTTCTGGGTTTTGTCCATTCTCATAGATGTGTGTAGTAGTATCTCGTTGTTTTAATTTGTATTTCTCTGATGACATATAATGTGGAGCATCTTTTCATAGGCTAATTTTCCATCTGTATATCTTCTTTGGTAAGGGTCTGTTAAGTTCTTTGGTCTGTTTTTAAATAGGGTTGTTCTTTTTTTTTTATTGTTGAGTTTTAAGAGTTCTTTGTATACTGTGGATACCAGTCCTTTATCAGATGTGTGTTTCACATGTATTTTCTCCCAGTCTATCTTGTCTTCTGATTCTCTTGCTATTGTTTTTTGAAGAGCAGAAGTTTTTAATTTTAATGAAGTCCAGCTTATCAGTTATTTTGTTGTGGATTGTCTTTGGTTTTGTATCTTGTATCACCATACCCAAGGTCATCTAGGTTTTATCTTACGTTGTCTCCTAGGAGTTTTATAGTTTTGCATTTTACACTTAGGTCCATTTTGAGTTAATTTTTATGAAAGGTGTAAGGTCTGTGTCTAGATTCATTTATTTGAATGTGGATATCCTTTCGTTCCAGCATCGTGTTTTGAAAGAGTATCTTTGAGGGGCGCCTGGGTGGCTCAGTTGGTTAAGTAAGTGGCTGACATCAGGTCAGGTAATGATCTTGCAGTTCGTGAGTTTGAGTCCCGAGTTGGGCTTTGCCCTGACAGCTCAGAACCTGGAGCCTGCTTCAGATTCTGTGTGCCCCTCTGTCTCTGCCCCTCCCCAGCTTGCATTCTGTGTCTCTTTCTCTCTCAAAAATAAATACACATTAAAAACAATTTTTTTTTAAACAAAAAGAGTATCTTTGGTCCATTGTACTACCTTTGCTCTCCCTTTTGCCAATACCATACTGTCTTGATTACTATATGTTTATAATAAATCTTTTTTTTAACATTTACTTATTTTTGAGAGAGAGAGAGAGAGAGCAGGGGAGGAGCAGAGAGAGAGAGAGAGAGAGAGAGAGAGAGAGAGAGAGTCTGAAGCAGACCCTTTGCTGGCAGCAGAGAGCCTGATGTGGGGCTTGAACTCATGAACTGTGAAATCATGATCTGGGTTGAAGTCAGACACTTAACCTGAGCCACCCAGGTTCCACGGTTTTAGAATAAATCTTGAAATCACATAACATTGGTTTTCCAACTTTGTTTATCTCCGTCAGTAATTGTGTTAGTTGCCCTGGCTTTTGCCTTTCCATATAAACTTTAGAATAGTTTCTTGATATCCACATATCTTGTTGAGGTTTTGGTTAAAATTGTATTGAAGTGCCCTTCTTACTACCCATCACCCATCTAGTCCATCTCCCACCCCTCTCCCTCAGGCAACCCTCAGTTTGTTCTCTATCATTAAGAGTCCCTTGTGGTTTGTTTCCCTCTCTCCTCTCTTTTCCTCCTTTCCATATGTTCATGTGTTTTGTTTCTTAAATTGTACATATTAGTAAAATCGTAGATCATCATTTATTCTTGTGTGTGTTTTGGCAGATTATCTCTTTTAATGAACTGGTCTCTTTCATCTAGGTTATAGAATTTAAGGGCATAGAATTGTTCATAGTGTTCCTTTATTATTTGTTTTATGTTTATGGGATCTGTAGTGATGTTCCTTCTTTCATTTCTGAAGATAGTAAATTGTGTTTTTTTTATTAGTTAACCTGGCTAGAAGCTTATCTCCTTTATGGATCTTTTTCAAATCAGCTTTTGGTTGCATTGATTTTCTCTATTGATTTACTATTTTTAATTTTTTTGTTTGCCACTCTAATACTTATTTATTTTCCCCTGCTTACTTTGGATTGAGTATTCTCTTCTTTTTTTAGTTTTCTAGGGTGGAAGCTTGATTAGTGATTTAATTTTTTTCTTCTTTTCTAATAATTCACTGCTATAAATTTCCTCGTAAGGACTGCTTTTGTTGGATTTCACAGATTTTAGTAGCCTGTTTTCATTTTCATTTAGTTTAAAATATTTTTAGATTTTCTTGAGACTTCCTCTTTGACCTACATGTTATTTTTTAGCATTTTGTTTAATATCCACATATTTTGGAATTTTGCAGGTATCTTTCTGTTAATGATTTCTAGTTTAATCTCCTTGTGGTCTGAGAACAAACAATATATCATTTCTGATCTTTGCATTTGTTTACATGTGTTTTATAGCCCTGAATGTGAGCTACTTGGTGAATGTTCCATGTTAGCTTAAGAAAAATGTGTATTCTGCTGTTACTGGGTGAAATAGTCAATAGATGTCAATTAAATCCAGTCAATTGATGGTATTGTTGAGTTCAATTATGTCCTTAATGATTTTCTGCCAGCTGGATCTGTTTCTGAGAGCGATGTTAACGTCTCCAATTATAATAGTGTATTCATCTATTATTCTTCTTGCAGTATTATCAATTTTTATGCCACATTGTTTTATACTCTATGGTTAGGCACATACATGTTATAGACTATTATGTCTTATTGGAGAATTGGCCTCCTTTATCATCAAGCAATGTTCTTCTTATCTCTGATAATTTAACTTGCTTAAAGTCTGCTTTCTCTGAAATTAGTGTTAATTATTCTTGCTTTCTTTTTATTAGTGTTAGCATGGTTTATGGTTTCTCCATTTACTTTTAGTCTGTATGTGTCATTATATATAAAGCGGGTTTCTTGAAGACAGTATAGTTGAAACGTAAGTTTTTAAATGTCAGGAATTTGTATTAAATTCACCCATATCTTGAAATTAGGTTTATAATCATGAATATATAAAAATAAATGTATACCTATGTATTTTAAATCTTTACTTTTGAATAATAGTAATTTGTTTTTAATTTTAATTCCTTCAGTGTTATCTATAAACTTATGGCATCGACAAGTGAAGGAATCAGAGTACAAGCTCTCAAGGCAATGGGCTATTTTTTAAAACACCTGGCCCCAAAGTGAGTATAGTGTTCATGAAATCTAAATTGGGTTGTGGTATATTACTTTTTATTTTATAAATCTTTGGAATAGTATTTTTGTTCTGTGATTTCTCTAGTTCCTCTTCTCTTTATTTTTATTTATAAAATCTATGTAAATTTAATCCATTTCTATATGTTAAAAATAAAATGGAAACAGGAATATATAGGTTTTTTTTTTTTTTTTAAATTTTTTTTTTTTTTTCAACGTTTATTTATTTTTGGGACAGAGAGAGACAGAGCATGAACGGGGGAGGGGCAGAGAGAGAGGGAGACACAGAATTGGAAACAGGCTCCAGGCTCTGAGCCATCAGCCCAGAGCCCGACGCGGGGCTCGAACTCACGGACCGCGAGATCGTGACCTGGTTGAAGTCGGACACTCAACCGACTGCGCCACCCAGGCGCCCCAGGAATATATAGGTTTTTAAAAAATATTTATCTATTTTTTTTTTGCATGTGCAAGTGGGGAGGGGCAGAAAGAGAGGGAGAGAGAGAATCCCTAGCAGACTCCAGGCCGAGCATGGAGCCTGATGCAGGGCTCGATCCCACACCTGGGAGATCATGACCTAAGCCAATATCAAGGGTTGGATGCTTAACTGACTGAGCCACCCAAGCACCCCAGTGTAGTTAGTTTTATATGAAATAAATTTTCCATTTGTTCTTCATTCATTATAAGAGTACATTTGTATAAATGGAATTTTAGAAACCATGGAGACTTCATTTCATGGGGGTTGATCATTTGCTTTATCTGTACTATAAAGCTGATATTTTAACCTAGATAGTTGTCATAGTATGTTCTGTTATATGGATAACTGAAAACTGAAATTTTTGTATTTTTTTCTTAGCTGAATGTAGATATTCATATCCTACCTATTGTTTCTTATACCATGTTGGTTTATTATAAAAATTAACATTTGTGGCAATAGAGAAGTGTTGGCAAACTATGGTCTTTCTGTGGATTCCAGTTGGCTGCCTGTAAATAAAGTTTGGTTGGGACACAGCCACAATCACTTATTGGCTTATTGTATATGGCTGTTTTCAGATTGTGACAGCAGTATTGAGTTGTTGCTGCAGAGCCCGTTTTGTCCACAAAGCCGAAAATATTTACTATCCAGCCATTTGCAGAAAAAATTTGATGAATCTCAGGGTAGAATTCAAGTTTATGATACTTTAGTTTCTAAATTTTTGCTTGGAAGTTTAATTTTGGTGTATTTATCTTCACAGTATTAATTTTCTTAATTTTCTTTCATTTTTTTCTACCTTTTTCTCCATATTGTTTTTCTACTTAACAACTTACTTAGGCTTTAGATTTCATCCATAATAGAGTTTAGCTCAGTGCTGATGGAGAGTAGAAACTAGTTAATAAACAATTGCTCTGAAGATTTTTGGTGTGCTGTGACATAGCCAGTCTTGTGTATATATTTTTTAAACTTCAGCTGTGCTTACATTGTAGTTTGTATTTCTCTGCTTAAAGATTTTGTGGCCTTATGAGTTCTAGGTTAAAGAAAAGTGGGAGAGTTACTGAGCTGGAATTTGTGGATAATGTGAAAAACATTTTTGTATCTTCTTCATCCAACTTGCATACTAAATAGTAGATAATAGTACTCTGCATTTGATTATTTCTTTTTATGAAATCACAGAAGAAAAGCTGAAGTCATGCTTGGACATGGATTGTTTTCATTGCTAGCAGAAAGACTCATGCTTCAGACAAATTTAATCACAATGACCACGTATAATGTTTTGTTTGAGGTAAGAATATATTTAGAATTTAATCTTATTTCATATTTTGAGAATGACTTTCTAATTTAGTTGCTAATGTCTAGATGAAATAAGGTAATTTAGATTTGATACACAGTTTTGAAATTAGTTATATAAAGCACATATAGCTGCATCTTAAATCTATTAATCTGTTAATTATTAAACATTATGGACATCTCTGTTAAGTATTTCCTCCATTGTATTGATTGTTTGATGTCTTGTTTTGTAATTAAGTAAAAATAGAGTTACAATGTTGAAATCATTTATTTTATAAAATACAGAAGATGGTTAGCATGACAGCATTGGACTGTATACTTAACATTGATTAGTGCTGACTTATGTTCATTTATATTAATGGTACAGTGATTATGCTAATCTATTGTTTTCCTTCTGTAGATTCTTATAGAACATATTTGTACTCAAGTGATACATAAACAGCATCCAGATCCTGATTCTTCAGTAAAGATACAGAATCCTCGTATGTATTTTATATACTTTTATTTTTTTGTTTTTGTTTTTAGGGACATTTAATTGACATATATTGTATAAGTTTAAGGTGTACAACGTAATGAAACAATTTGATATATGTATATATTGTGAAATGATTACCACAGTAAGGTTAGTTAACACATCCATCACAGTATCTTTAGAATTTTTTGTGTGTATGTGTGGTGAGAACTTTTAAGATCTACTGGTTTGGTAACTTCTCATTGTACAATACTGTATTGTTAACTGTAGTCACCATGTTGTACATTAGATACCCAGAACTTACTCAACTTATAACTGGAAGTTTGTATCCTTTGACTACTTTCCCCCATTTCTCCCCTTATTTTTTATACTTTTAATAAGTACTTTTTGGGGTGCCTGGGTGGCTCAGTAGATTGAGCATCTGACTTTAGCTCAGTTCATGATCTTAAAATTTGTGGGTTTAAGCCCTGCATCAGGCTCTGTGCTGACAGCTCAGAGCCTGGAGCCTGCTTCTCCTTCTCTCTCTGCTCCTTCCTCACTTGTGCTCTGTCTCTCTCTCTCTCAAAAAAAAAAAAAAAAAAAAAAAAAAGTACTTTTTGCCAATAAAAAGAAAGTCACTGAGAAAAACCTGAAGTTGATATTGTTGAGAACATAGTGTTCAAAGAATATTTCATTATAGGGAATAATATAATGCTACTTTTATTTTTGGTTAATATTGAATATAACATCTAATTAACCTTAGGTTATGTGGAAATGTTTATATAGAGATTTTGAAGAATTGTGTATGGAAGATACTGATTTAATGTATGTTCAGATTTTCAGTAAAGTTTTGATTGCACCATTTAGTGATGTCAGGCCAAATTACATGAAGCATGGAGGTAGCTTTCATCTTAAATTAATGTCAAGTTAGGAATACCAAGTTTGGAATTGAAAAATATCTGCTTTTTTTTTTTTATTGTTTATGAACTTAGTCTTGTTGAACAGTCTTTTCTTTTGATATTTAGAATTCTGAAGCACTTGTACAAAGTGTACATTTTTCATCTTTTTAAGATTATTGACATTGAAATAACTGACTTGTAGAGTTTAGAAATTTAATTACCTTTTGTGCGGTGAGTTGTGTTTTTGGTACTCTGTTTCAGTACTAGTTTTAAAAACATGTCTGGGAAGTTTAATTTTCCTCAGCCTTCAGGGAGACTTGATGTTATTATTTTAGAGAGTAAGAAAAGGAGAAAATCTTGAGTATATGTATATAAATATAAATTATATTTTATGATTATAGAGATGACTTATTGAAGTAAGAATTTTAGAATGTATGATCTATGTAATATACTATCTCAGAAAGACACACACTATAGTACGGTGTTTAAAAGCGTCACCTGCCCAGGTTTTTATATTGTTTATGTTTCTTAATAGTTGTGTGAACTGCTTAATTTCTGTGTGCCTCAGTTTTCTTATCTCTAAAAAGGTGATAAAAACAGTATTTAGCTATCATTGTATATGGGTTTTCTTAAAATAGTACCTCATGGTAGTATATTCTCAAAATTAAGTGTCTATTATTGTCATTACAATTATTATTATGATTATTATCATCATTGTAATCATTTTCCAGGCAGAGAAAATTTTCAATTTGTCATTAGAAAAATTCAGAAATTACTTCCCAAATGTCTTTTATTGTATGATAAAATATCTTCGTACTTGCTGTTTTGCACTCACCAAAAACCTTGGCAAAAGGCTAGTTCAGAAGTTCTGAATTGTAATTGGGTAAAAACTTAATATATTTATTTAATTTTAAATTCAGGGTTATAGCTGTTTTTGTTTCTATATAGTTCTGGATTTAAGTATATATTTTAAAGAATTTTTTTCCTTAAAGCTAAATGCTAGAAATTTGGACGGCGTTATTTTTAAGACCATTACAGTAGCAATTTCATTTGTATTTGGGGTGTTGAATAGGTTTTAATTTTCTTTGTTTTTTAACCTAATTTCACTTTTAAAAAAAAAAATTTTTTTTAATGTTTATTTATTTTTGAGACAGAGAGAGACACACCATGAGCAGGGAAGGGGCAGAGAGAGAGGGAGACACAGAACGTGAAGCAGGCTCCAGGCTCTGAGCTGTCAGCACAGAGCCCGACGCGGGGCTCGAACTCACGAACCGTGAGATCATGACCTGAGCTGAAGTCAGACGCCCAACCAACTGAGCCACCCAGG